CTTGTCTCTACACCAATTAAATCATTATATGTTGCTATATCCAATTGTAGTTTCTCCAATGCTTGTATATAAGCCCGGAAATGAGCACTGAGAACCTGCAAACATTCAGCAGCATTAGGGTATTTCTTGAAATTATCTTCAATTTCACTGTTTTATCTAATATTATCCCAGAGTGAATTTGGAAGAGTTTATCTGGGCTTGTGAAAGTTGTTTATGACCTTCCTATGAACTCTTTTTAGATTAGTTTGATAAGTTTCACAGAGAACATAATAAAAATAAGTTCTTTCTAGCTTATTTTAGTAAGGTTTACAGTCAGACTTATGAATAAGCTCTCATTTAACGAGTTTATTGGATAAGAGCTTAATTTTGCAAATTTCAGCTAATACAACCTATGCAGATTGATGATTTAGCACTAAAAATCTGTGAAGGTCAACTATAGACTAATCAGGTATACCATCAAAGACAATTGAATGACTTGATTATAAACCTATAACCAGTAACATCTTCCATACAGCAGTTTTCTTTCTCAGGACAAAGCAGAGCTACCTAAAGTCTATAATGCTATCATATCCATATCTCATTTTAAACTCCATTTTAGAAAATATATATCATATTTTTGGTGTGGTGGGCTCCGGCTTCCTTCATTATTGAACCTAGATTTAGGTAGAATCATAATCCTATGACAAGGTTTTCGTCAACAGCTTAGAAGTTTAAAGGTGGCTTAGATTTCAAAACGCTAAACTAAATCTATCAAACAAAAATTTGTCTTGATGACACATGGGTCATGACGTTGAAGTAAAGTTCATTATACTTTGAAAACGATGCTTTGGATCAAGATTATAAACAAAGATAAATATATCAAATGTGACCAAAACTTTTCTACTCCTAATAGCCAATTGATTCAAGATTATAATTTTAACAGTTACCTTGTTCATTGTATCAATGTATGCTGCCCGAACTTCATTATATATTTCCTTGCCATGTTCTTTGAGGAAGGTAACAACATACCTACACATATACATTTATACTCCCATTCATTAGATTAATAGAGAACCAAAAGCTCACAACATTACCACAATGATCCCTTTAAAGAGGGGCAAAGAAGTGAAATTTAGATAAGTAGATTTCACAGCCTTCCATTGTTGGCAGGCAGCATAAAAATTACCCAGAATATGGAACCAAAACATTTAATTGAATATTTAGTAACTAGATTCTTCAAGATCAACAGCTCTGTTTATTACCACAGGCTCTAACAATTTAGCTACCAGTGAACACTGAACATGAAAGACCGAAATACAAAACCAATTTAATCAAATCATATTCAGTCAACAGCTTATGAAAAAAGTGATTTGGTTGAATACCATCTAATGCTTGAAGTGATTAATTATCAAATAATCTGTTAAATTCAGGATATTGAAAGGTAACAGAATAAAATCATTCCATTCAATTGGTAACCGAACTCATAAAATGCAGATGTCCAGAAACATGAGTTTCAGCATGAAATAATTATATTTTCACTTATCACAACTCACAAGCAATCATCACCTAAGAAAACTACTATGCTCTAAAAAACAAGAAAAACTCACTTGTATTTTAAGAGGACACTTTGTTGAAGTATTTGGATATTTGTTTTGGGTTTTCTCAGTGCATAGAGTTTCTGAACAATAAAGTCAAACACCTGCAGATGGATAGCCATAGCCATGGTGGATATTAGCCTACCTAATACATGATGTACTGAATAAATAGAAAATTCAGCAAGCTAATATTATTCTTATTGTTTTAGGTGTCAATAACCTTTGAAACTGCTTTCTGCCTGAGCTTTTCAAGTTCAGGTTGAACATCTTTCAGAGCCTTTGAAGCTTTAACAATTGGATCTACTTCTACAAACTTCAGTTTTTTGCTAAGAATCTCAAGAGTTCTCATATATTCCTCGTTGACCTGAAAAGAAGTCCAAAGAGTACAAGTCTAATTAAAAGAGAATATAATAATAACATGTAAAATATAATGAAAACTATACCCATCAAGTACTAAGTGATCTAAATGAAATTCAAAACATACCTAGATAGTTAAAAAAAATTAACTCTAGGCCAAAATGTCAAAGAAGACCCAGAAGATGTATCTAATTGGAAGAAATAAACTGACAATCTATGCTATATTCTAAAATCCAATATAATCATCATACTTTTTTTTAAATGTTGCCATGGCTACCAATGGCTATATGTCAAAACTAATAAGTCAAACAAGATTCAAGCTACAACAAATTCCCCAAGAAGATCAATAGAATTACCAAAAACAAGAAAAGATATCAAGTCTATAAAATCATAGACAAGAAGTGACCAATGATGTGAACAACCAAAGCCACAAACAAAGCATCTGATAGATCCTGAATTAGATTTTTTTTTTTAAGTCATGAAAACTAAAAGGGGCGTAAAATGCGAAAATAGTATAACTACTGTTGGAAAAGAATAAATATACTTTTCACACCACCAAAAGCAACTCATGCAACACTGGAGAAAAGTAGATCATGGAAAAAAACACAAATACCTCTCCATCAACAAGAATGTCGACCATTCTTGGAGGGACTATTATGTCTTCCACAAACTTGGCCAATTTGGATTCAGCTACCTGTTGGATGAAACAAGACAAATCATAACACAAGTAGAGATAGGAAAAAATAATCTTATTTGGGGTGGAAGGAGAAGAGACAAAAATGCTGAATGAGCATGTTATAGTGAGGCTAAGTTTTCTCAAACATAAAGAAATCCAAATCTTAAAATGTAAGAAGCCTTCAGGTGAAGATTGCTTCCCAGATCAAAAGGACAGTTACATAGCTTTGGTCGCATTACTATTAAGATTAATATTAAACAAACGCCAATGGGTGTTACAATTTATGAACACCATTGAAATCATTTTTGATTAACTTAAACATCCATACCTTGCGATTCTTAAGTCTCAAACTCATATCCATAGACTTCTCTTGGAGAATCTTTATGTCTGAACTAATGGAACCAATTTCAGCCTGATAAAAATAAAGAATGATTTCATGATTCAATATTCAATATAAACAAGAAAACATGTACTCCAATTTGTTTTTTAGTTAGTCCTTCAAATTATTGAATGTGTTACTGTGATTGTACAAGTTTTTGTGAGATGATTATTAAAGATGAAAAACAGGTCAGTAAGTACTTCAGCATTGCAGAGTGAAACTAATAATTCTCACAGGGATAAGTTTTCATAAAAAGAGAGGAAAATTGAAGTGTCAAATTCAAGCTTCAAGATAAAATTTACTTGGCCAAAAAATACCTGAAATCCACTTAGAAGGGTTTCCATCTGTGACAGGATATTATCACAATCACGAATTTGATCGTGCAGAGAGACCAGGTTATCACTTTCTTTTATATAATCCTGCAATAAAAGGAACAGTAGTAAAACTTATGATCAAATAAAGAAAAGCAAAAGCGTTAGATTAGTAGTTGAGTACTACTACAACCACACTTTAATAAGATATTCATAATAATCACCAAATGGCAAACCGTGAGAAGCAAAATAAACTGTAACAGCTGTTAAAATTTTATAAAATTGACCACAACCTGAATTGAATCCAATTCAACTTTGCGCAAATCGTTCTCAACTCCCTTGGTATAATCCCTAAGTTTGGTGCCTTTAGCCAGTATATTTGCAACTACCTACACAAAACAAAGCAGCATAATAGCTCAATATATGCCGATCCATTTCTATAGCAGCGTTTTCATCACAACAACGACAAAGTAACTCACATCATTGTTCTTACACTCTTCCAGTTCCTGCTCTAGTCCTTCCAACGATATATCATCGCTGCAAATTAAGTTAACCGAAACATACGAAACAAGGAGTAATTAATCTGGTTTTGATTCTAAAGTTGCACGTTCAAAATTGCACGAACTGAAAATAAACCTGCTTGGATCCTCTTCCAAAGTTAGGTCTCCAACAAACGCTCCCAAATCGAACACATTCTTTTGCGCATCGTTGGTTTCATCAATAGAAGGGCTCTGCAAAGAGCCGAATCACCGAAAGAGAAAGAGAAAGAGAAAGGAAAATTGGTGATAATAATTGAGTGAAACTGGGAACTAGAATCGTTTCAGTTGAAGTGCAATTAGAAAGAAAGGTAAGGAGTTCGCACCATTGGAGTTCCGGCAACATCGGCCATTGTTGCTTTGTTTGACGAGAGTGTGAAGTGTATGGAATGAGTCGTTGTGCGATTACTGGATTAGAAGAAGCGCGGCTTCAGCTTCAGCATCGTCAAAATCAAGTGCACGCACACCGTTGTTGCTTCGATGAGATCTGAATGGATCCACCAAGATGAAACTACAAACCTGTACGCGATACCGGTCGAAAAAAATTTAGAATGGGATCGGGGAACCAAACCAAATTATATTACCGTGTCATTTGTATTATAGAACCAAAAAAAGTTTTTATTACAGCTAAATAACAAATAGTAAATAAATAACTGCATTTTTTTTAATATATTGTAGGTGGGAAATATTTATTTATTTATTTATTTATTTAAAATTAATTATATTTTTAAGTGTTGTAATTGTAAATTTTATTAATTTAAAATGAAATGTTTCATGTTTTAAAATAAAATTAATACAAGTGATTATATGATGATTTAAAGTTTAAACAAATATTTTTATCTTTAAATAAAATGTTAAATTACGATTTTGATTTCTCATTTACTTAGTTTGGTTCATTTATTGTTTAACAAATTAATTTGGTTTAATTTTCAAAAGCAATGCAATATTTTGCTTTTTGTCCACCTGATATGAACAATGCTAACTCTTTGTATACGTGAGATGATAAAAACACAATACATACCATGACAACACTATCGGAGAGTATGCAGAGACAGTGTACATTACTGAAGGTAAAAGAGTAGCAGGCCTGATGTTTGGGCCTGGGGCTGGGCCTGGACCAGTTGTAGCTATGTTTTTTCTTTTATGAAAATATATCTAGGTCACGGCGTCGTTTCACGAAAGGTGAGATAGAGCGAAGAGCATTTTGAATTGAACATAAGCTCTACAGACAGACATAAACCCCAAAATCTCGTGAGTTACTGCTACTGTCGTTCTAAAATGTTGAAGCTTTCTCGCGTGCTGCCTCTCACTTCCACTTCCAGGTTCTCTTTCTTTCAACTATTTATTCGCTTACACTTTTATTTTCACTTCTACTTACTAATCGATTATTCTTCGCAGTTCGCAACTTTTTCTGAACACTAAATTAAATAATAAACATCAAAGTAGGGCGGCCCAGAAAAAAAAGGGCTTGAGAATTGGGATTATTTCTTTAAACTTACTGTAATTTGCTTTATGTGATGTGAATCTGGAGATGCCATACGCCAAAAGTAGAATAATTAAGTACAACACATGAAATCCTAACTCTGTTTCGCTAACCACTTAACATTTATATTATATACAACTGTTGGCATGTTATATAAACATGGTGGCACATGGAATCTCGTTCATTGGACCATGCTTATGCAAAAAAAAAAACGTATGCTTTTGATAATTTGAGATGAATGTATTGTGCACAGTTAAACTCATGTGTTTCATCTAAATTTTGCAATTTTGCAAAACAGGCATCGGCTGTTGGAAGCGTTGTCGCCTAGGAAAGTTGAAGTTGGAGACTGTTTGCGGGATCGGCCTGAGTTTACCTCTTCTTCAGCTGGCATTTCTACTGCTGCAAATAGCTATGCTGCTAAAGGCATTGCTTTATACAAGTGTTTATAATTTTGCTACCTGTTGAGGCTGACATTGAACTCGGCCTTACTTCTGTTTTCCTGCTATGAACTTGCAGGGTATACTTCGGATCGTGTATTTGCTCCTTATACTGTTTACAAGGGCAAAGCTGCGTTCTCGTTGAGTCCTTGTCTTCCAACTTTCACTAAGTTGGAGGTAAGATTGTGGTTTTCTTTTAACATATTTATTGAATGTGACTTTTTTGGTGTGGTATTAACCAATACGTCATATTTATCTATTCCACCTGTTTTAGTCTGGGAGTGTTGTAGTTGATCGACGCGGTACAATGATGATGAATTTCATGCATTCTATTGGAGAGCGCAAATATGACTGGGAGAAGAGACAGGTAATTAGTTTTGCTATTCCATTTGCATGGTTAAAAGTTTCTGGGTTGTGACTTGTGACTGTTTTACCTTCGTTTTTGGCGATAGAGAATGCATTGTCAAGATGACTTATATCTTGTTTCTGATGTTCTATTTAGTAATTCAAGGAGGAAAGACACATAGAATCTTTTGATGTTCCATTATCTCTCTCTTATAGTAATTACCTTTCTTGTAGAGATTTGCTCTTTCGGCAACTGAAGTTGGTTCTTTGATAACCATGGGCCCCCAAGATTCATGTGAATTCTTTCATGACCCTTCAATGTTATCAAGGTTGGTTTCATGGCTCTTGGATTCTTTTTTGATGGCAAACGAATGATCATGAGAGCACTATAATGGGATTGAATTAAAAGTACATTACCATTAACCTATTAATGAAAACTTATTTTTATGTTTATACCACTTCAAATATAGTAGTAATCACCTTATGTTGCAGTAATGCGGGTCAAGTAAGGAAGAGCTTATCAATTAAGCCTAACAGCAATGGCTACTTTGTGTCTTTGAGTAAGATTTTTTTTGTTAGTTTTTTCTCCTTCTGTGCCATGTACTATGGATTGCATAATACACCCCTTTTTCTCTCTGATTGTTGCCCCTTTTTTGGCAGCTGTTGTCAACAACCTGTTAAACACCAAAGACCAGTTCAGTGTTCCTATCACAGCTGCTGAGTTTGCTGTAATGAAGACAGCTTGCAGTGTATGCTTTTTATCTGCTTAGTTTCTCTCAAGTTTGAGTTAATTATATTTTAGCTTCCACTAGTTATGGACTGACGAGTTTTTGCTTGCAATATGTAAGACATAAGAGGGTTATCTGTTATCCTTTTGTCAACAATTTTGTTTTTATCATTGGAAGGGATAAATAAAATAATTATCCTGTCATTTTGCATGCATATTATTCCATCATTCAACACAGTTCTTGTCTTAAAACCATAGTTAACACATTACAAAAACCTTGAATCTTGATTCAACATTTGCTGTCCATTAAACTTAGGAGCTCTCTGATCAACAATTTAGAATTTCAGAGTGCCAGGTGGGTTTCTCTTTATATTTTTATTAGCGTGTTGAAATGGTTTTTGCACATATAACAATGTTGGCAATGGCAACCCACTCGTTTTCTGGTGAGGATTGAAATATAGTTGAACACATGTTGATTTTATTCACAACTTATTGTAGATAAACAGAACTCAAAATCAGTATAGAAAACTGTACTAGACATTAAACCAGTGAAGGTATTCATGGTTCACTAATCTAAGCATGGTTGAGCTAAATACCCACACACGCCCACGTGCTGTATTCTATGTCCTGCAAGAAAAGAAAAACCCAATATAAGAGGTTAAATAATGATAATGATCATTCTACTAATAAGACATGCCATAAAGCATTAAAGCAAAAGAGGCTGAAAGTGAACAAGTGTGTTGCTTGATGCTTGGAAGTCTCACATTGGCCACGGAGTCCAACATACAACATATATAAAAGCCAAAAAGGAGGTTATATTTGCAAGTCCCTCATAGGATAATGAGTAGAATATCTTAACATACAACATATATGAAAACTAAGAGAAAGACAAGTCATCTCATGCCCTGCTTCTATGCGGGCCTTTGTTGTGTGAACTGACAGACACCTGACTGGTTGGTGTAGTTTTTTTTTTTTAAATTAATTCTCAAAATAGCTGTTTGTTTTGGGCAACTAGAAGCATTCATGCTAAGTTTCTTCATTTGTGGGGCTAGAATCCAGATCTTACTTCCTAGTCCCTGCTCCTATATCGAGTGGCTTTGGATCCAGTTATACATACAAATCATTTTCTGTTAATAGAAGTTAGTCAGTTACTTTCAGTTTTGTTGGTTTCCTTTCTGACATTTTGAGGTTATGGTAGTCAGTCATCCGAATATCTTGTATAAGGCCACAGTATAGCTGGCTCAATGAAACTTGAATTCCATTTTCATCTCTTCATTTCTTCTAAGATCCCTCGCACCCAAAAAAATAAGGAGTGTCTTCTTGCACCTTGTCAAGAGTTTTGTCACTTATTAATTTGTCTTTTAATGCAGTTTGCATTGCCACACATTATGGGTTGGGACCAGATAACTAAACAGCAATCCAGAGGCACAGCTGGCCTTCAACCGAAGAGTGGTTCTCAAGTTCTAGACTTGGAATGGGAAAAGTGAATTGCTGCAGAGGAATATGAAATGGGTCCTTGTTTAATTTGCTATTCCATTTTGTATATTATCAATATGAAGACTAGGATTGCCAGGGGAAGATAATTTGTAAATTGCAATCTTTAAGAAAGATATGAGGATATATTTGATCAGGGGTCAACGGCATTTTGCCATTAGTCATTTTATTGTGTTGTTATAACTAGTAAATTGCAATCTTCTGCCTGGCTTTGAAAATACTATTGGCTGTCTGAACATCATCAGTCTGATATCAGTCGTTATTTGCTGGCAAGTTTTTAACGATTAGATGTTGATGATTGTTTCCGGTCTTCTACATCATCAGTATTCTTTTTTCTCATTGTGAATAAACAATGGTTAATGTTACCAAGTGTTCTTAAAACGCTGTCAAGAAAAAAAATAAAAAGAAGTAAGAAGTATGTAATGAAAAAAGTATTTATTATATTAAAATTAAAATTAAATAATTTATTTGGCTTTTGACTGGATGTTTCCACGGGTATAATTCTGAAAGTAACTCTGAGACAAGGGGTCTCGATTAGATAATCCTGATGTTAAAGATAGAGTTTTTCTTTTGGTCTGGGTATATTTGAATAAGATTTTTCTTAAGTATTTTTAGAAAAGAAAAGAGAAAAAATTAAGATAAGTTTTTTTCATAAGTTAATATGAGAAATCTTTTATAAATTAATTTGTGCATAAATTAATTTTAATTAATATAAAAAATTTATTTCATATTTTTTCTTTTAAAAATATTTTTTAAAAAGTTTATCCAAAAAGATCATTAACTGGTTTGCCTTTTGTTATTTATTGTTCATTAAATGTAGAAATTTCTTAATATTTATTTATTAAATAGTAGAAAATAATTATTGGTGAATGTTCTGTAACTAACCTTACACGTGAATTTACGTAAGGTGGAAACCTAGAAGGCCAGAACTTGCTATTTGGAAACAAATTTAAGTTGTATCTATTGACATTTGAGGTCTTTGGTGCCTATTTTGAAATAATTTGTTTAAAAGATTTATTAATTATTATGTCTCGGTATTTTTATTAAGTAAAATAAGACAGAAAATTAATGAAGTAAAAAAATAATGTAGTAAAATAAATAGATTTTTCTTAAAATTAAGCATTTTTAATTATTTAACAGGAGCTGAAAAATATTTATTATGAAATAATCTACCTATTGACTATTGCTATCTGGCTCTAACTATATATTACTTTACATTATTAATAGTGCATAGATTAATCAGTTTGTAGTTGTTCTAATTATAGTTTTAGTTTGAATCTTGAATATATAACTGTATTATATAATTAAAGTGGTATATAAAAAATGCAATTTTTTTACAACTACTTAATTATGCATATTAATAATTTAATATATTCATGGACCCAAAAAAAAAATTTCCATATACACATGAAATATTAGAAAATCTACCACGATTTCAAGCTGTGCTTATAAGGAGGTCATGCACAGAATGTGCATGATTAGTAATATTGAGTTAGAGCATAATGAAGGCAAAAACTTGGAATTGAATTAAATACATGCACTTTATCCAAATGATATAATTAATTATTGAAGTTTAGTTATATAAATAAGCTGAAAAATCGCTTACAAGGGATCTATCAAAAAGGAATTAAACATTTCAAAATAATAAACTATTATTCGAATATCTGCTAGAAGAATATCCAAATTCAATATCTGAAAACGTAGATGTACTTTTAAGTTTTAACCATCTTAATGTAAACATCCTCTTTTGCTATTGTTCTTAGGAGGGTTTCATTTAGGGGGTGAGCAAAGCACCTGTCGATACAGGTTTAACTTTTTTTCTTATCTGAAAAATTAATTGTATTATTATTTATTTAATCTCAAATTCAATCTGATTAGGATATGAAATATGTATGGGAGGGAATCGGATCAACCTAATTTTTTAATTTAATATATCAATATTAACATAAATTATGAAATAAAGAGATATAAAATTTAAATAAATTTAATGTGTTATGTAAATTATTCATTTCATTATACTCAATTACTAACTTTGTTAGTTTTTTTGAACAATCAAGGATTTAAGTGTTAGATCGAAACATTCTCTCTCCTAGTTGATTGTTCTCTCTCTTGATTACTTAATATGAACTATAATACAATGTTTTAGTACTTTTTGACCAATAACAAACATTTTATCATGTTTAAATATTTTAGTTATGGATGCTCTGATTAAAATGAAAGATTGTTATTGAATTTCGCATAATTTTTAATAATTAAATTTTTATATCTCAGTCATCCATAATTTCTTTGTCTATTTTGACTACAAGTTTAAAATTGTAAATTATAAATTATTGAATTTATGATTTAACAAAATGAGTGATCGATCTAAAAGATCTTAAGTAAGAATGTGTCAATTGAATATAAGTATTCTTGTAATTGTTACATGTCAACCGAGAGAGAAAATAGATGTAATGTGATAATTAATTATTGACCAATAATAAAACTAACAAAATTAGTAATCGAGTATAATGGAAAGATTAATTGCATAATAAAATTAAAATTTAAAGACTTAAATGCTAAAAAAAATATTTAAAAAATTTATGGACTAGTATGACCTTTCAAGAATCAAATTAAATGTTTACTCTTATTAATACACAATTATTTTAAGAATTCATACACTTTAAAATAATGAAATACAAATTGAGATGAGTCAAAGCATAATTCAAACTCATTCTAAAAATTATATCAAATCTAATTTTGAAATCGATCGAAACCCGTCCCAATCAACGAGAGGCGGTTGGGTCTTGCTAGTTTCATTCATTTACCTCGATTCAACATTTTATATTGACGGGGGCTCTGGAGTCTGGACGTAACCATCGCAGTTAAAAGGAAACCTTCAAAATCAAGGTTATCAGAGGTGGGGTTAATTCGTGGGGCAAAATACACACACACACACACGTTATTTTGTGAGGAAGAGTGATGCTGGATTTTCCAACATATGATTTTGTTGATATTGAGCTTGCTGCTGGCGACCTTGTTCCCTTTCCCAAAGGATTAAAATGCACATGGCAAATCCCGGTTTCAGCTAACTTGCATTACAAATTATAGTTCTCACACTTGTACTATATATTTTATAAAAAGGTAAATATATTTATTTAATTAAGTTTTAGAAATTATTTTAAATAAATCTTAGGGGGGTGTATTGGATTAGGATTTTAAAGGACTTTTTTAGTTTAAAAAAATTCTGCGGATTTTAAAAGACTTTGCAGGATTTTCATGACTTTTAAGATTTTGCAGGATTCTACAAGACTTAAAATCAGGATTTTAATGGATTCTGCAAGATTTTTAAATCAGGATTTTAATGGATTCTTTGGGATTTAGTAGAATTTTTGTGGATTTTTGACATTTGATAAGATTTCAAAAAACTTTCATACATTCAAATTTAAAAAGAGTCAAAGATAAAAATAATAAAAAAATAATAATGTCTAGAAAAATAAAAATAATAATAATTCTCATAATATCTTATTTTCTTAAATAGCATTCACCCACATATCTAAAGCTATACTAGTCCTCTAAACATTAGCGTCTTTTCGCTCTTGCTCCTGGGTTTGAATAATAAGTTCAAAAGTATGATTTTCATTAACGGGTAACGTTGAAGATGAAGGTTTATCCACCGCTTCAATTAGAAATTCATCAGAACGACATTCTTTACATAGAAAATTATGTAGTGTTGCACATATTAACACAAGTTCTACTTGTGTCTTAAATAAAAATGGAGGTGCTGACTTAAAAATTGTGAACCTTGATTTAAAAATACCAAATATTTTCTCGATCACATTCCTTAAAGATGCATGATGAAGATTGAACAATTTTTTCTCATTTTCAGGGTCATTACCCTGACCTGCAAAATCTTGTAGATGATATCTTACACCTCGAAATGGAGCTAAAAATTGGCGTCGATTAAGAAATCTACAATCCACCAAAAAAATATTTACCTAATTACATATGCAATATATATAATATTAGTATAATAATAATAATAATTATATATAATTATTATTATTATTTAAAGAATAAGCATTTAGATATATAGAATATGAGGAGGGTTCAAACGACACTGGTGTAACTTTTACTAAGTGTTACACCGCTTAATAACTTTATATTAAATGTAAATTTTGAAAATCTAACCGTTAGATTGAAAGTTCATATCTCTTAGATCATATATATCAAATTTTATATTAATCTAAAATGATTTGATACTTCATTCTCATAAAACAAAATTGACGTAATATATATATATATATATATATATATATATTATTTTAGTTATATATTATATGATAATTTTTAACAATATTTATAAATGTAAATTATTCTAACAAATATTTTAACAATATTTCCTCTTTTAAAAAATAAGCCTAAACCCTAAAAAATTAGATACTGCAATATCTTATGTTAATTTTCTTTTTTTAAAATATAAAAAGTCCCAATTTTACAATATAAAAAGAAAAAGAAAAATTCATAGTAAAAAAAATAAAATAATTGTTGAGTCATAAAAGAATGGGGATAAGAGTAACAAACTTAAGCGAAGGAGAAAAATTGCAGTTTTTATGCTGAGAGGGTTCTTCCCCCAACTAAGATCCATTTTCATCTCATTCTACTCACAGAAACCCTAATAAATTCATCTTATATATTATATATTGTAGAGATTATGATATCAATTTCATCTTTCACATTTTTCTTTTCTTGACGTGTGTTATAAAAAAAATTATCACTTAAAAGTTAAAATTTCAAGCATTTTTTTGTGTTATATAAAGGAACAAATTCAATTACATAGAATAAAATAAAGCAAGTTAATTAAAGAGAACGAACAGAAAAATAGAGCAAATCAATGACACTATCATTTACATATCGGAGTTTCACAAAATAAGGGAATGAGATGAGAACAATACTACAATATTATATATGAGCAATGAACAATAGTGCAGTATTATTACCAGAGAAAAAATGAAGAAGACAGGAGCATAGAAAAAAAAGATGAAAAACTCACTTGAAAATTCTTGAAAAGTCACTTCAAACAATCCTTCAAAATTCGAGGAGTTTGGATGAAATGGTTTTATGAATTTAGTATTTATAGATAACACTAGAAAGTCCTTCAAAATCCCCCTCACACAACAATTCTTTAAAATCCTTATATTTTTGAATACCAATGGATTGTTTTTAAGTTGTAAAAAATCTCAAATGAATACCAATGGATTTTAATGGACTCTTTAAAAAATCTTGAAAATTCATATTGAATACCACTGGATTGTTTTTAAGTGACATAAAGTCCTGATTGAATACCAATAGATTTTTTTACTTAAAAAAAATCTTTTAAAATTCTAAACCAATACACCCCCTTAGTTTTTATCAAACCATATTTTATTTATCATTATTGTTGTTGACTTGATGTCTTAGAATTTATCTTATGTTATCCTTCTGGTGTCATTTTTTAAGGTATCGATTTCTTCTTATCTCCTTGATTCAATCTCATGTGACTCTTAAAATATCTTTTCAATTATTTTTTGTTTTTTCTCTTTACGAAGAATTATTCTCACTATTGTACATCATACAAATAAGTTTTGAAAACAGTGTCATTATACAGGTTTATAATAATTATTAAGTTTAAGAATTTAAAATAGATCGTAGTTCATGAATAATCATAAAAATAGATAATAAATACGATATTAATTCATATCAGAGTTAAAATAAATTGTGATTCATTGATCATAAATATAGATAAAAAATATAATATTAAAGTGTTATATAGATCG